CTGGCTCCAGCTATAGATTTTGATTATTGTGTAAATGTTCAGGCGTATGTTTCCACCATGCGAAAAGTAGTACATAGAGCATACATAAGCATACACACACACACCGAATGCAAAGTGCTTGTAGGTAGTGACCTCCGTGTGACACGTCGCCTTTACCTCTTACGATTTCAACCACCTTGACTGCACTTCATTCACCTGTTTGACTCAACTCAACCCCCAGATCTAGGAACCAGTTGCCAAATAACGACCCATCTTCAGCACCAAAAACCCTTCCTCCGTCCTATGTGAGCTACCTTCAGCACAGAGCAGGCGCTACCGAGTTGTGTGCTGTGAGGAGGGGTTACTCCCTGTACCTTGTCACTCAAGAGGACCAGAGAAGAGTTTTGAGCTACTTTGGTCTCCAAAAACAAAGCACCACTGATTGGTTCTGGAAAACGAGGCATACACAAAAGAGCTGATGGTGCATTCACTGCCAGCAAGCAACACAGTCATCCCAAACGCATGCCATTAGACCTCTGTAAGCATTCCCCCCCTTACCCCCTCCCCCCTTTTCACGTTTTGTACATAACACACAGGTAAAAATTATACTAGCTCTGAAGCACTGCAAAATAGTCAATCCTTAGTACTGGAAGCTAAACACACAACCAGAAAGTCCATGGCCATGAGAAAGCTGAAGCTCTGCCTGTCAACAGAACTGACCGTTATCGCTGGAATATGCCACGGGGATTCGGGAGATAGGCAGACATACAGAGATGAAGATGCTAAAACTGTTGAAACGCATGACGACATTTTTATTTCACCCGCCCACAAGCAAAAGTCACCCCCGAACATTCAGGGAACGGTAGTAAATGATGGGAGTTAACTCACCCATATATTGTTGTCACCTGAAGTGAAATACAAGGGCCAAGGTGACCAGAAGCATGCCTAGTGATTTGGGGATTAATATGGCTCTAAAAGAAAATAAATCCAAACCCAAACCAAGCTTTTATTTTCAGAAAACATGCAATCCTCCTCTCAAAATGTGAACTACTCACAGCTCTTGAAAAATCTTGGCCAAACGCCTTCGAATCTCCCTTTAAAATGTGAGACAGTTTCAGTCAAGTCAAGGTAAAGTGTCATGAGATGAGATCACCCAGTATATTTACTTTAAAAACTGGCCCACACTAAACAACAAAACAAACCCTAAAATATTGTAATACAACAAATCTACCTACCTACAGCTCTGGATTATTAACTCTGTATTTTTTTCCAAACAAATTATTCTCTAATAAAACAATTCAAACTAACCTTTTTGTAGCTTAGAATTTAAGAAGTCAAAACTCATTCCAGAACCTTTTAATTTGGGGTAGTTTAGTGTTTTTCCACCTTGAAAAGAACTTCAATCTGGAGCATTATTCTGTTTTCTCCCCTGCTATGCAGCAAACACAAGAACAGCCAGAACCAGTTTTCTACACAACAAATTTTACCCACAAGAATGGAAGGAGACGTTGAAGTGAGGATCCAAGACTCAGAGCCAGAGATCCCACGGACAAATCGCTGCAGCAGCCACCGGAAGGGAAACGCAGATGCTTGATGATACGGATGGGCAAGTCATCTCCTGTGCTGCCAAGCTGCCCCAGGTTTGGTCCCCAACGCTGCCCTCCTTTACCTTCCCCTCCTTTCCCTCCAGCCATAATGACCATTTGTTCCCTGTTAAGGTGCAAACGCGGCTCCCCGAGACGTTTGGAAAGGGCCCCTTTGGGACCCTCTTGTGAAATCTGTGCTTGTCTCCACTATTACTACTTTATACTAGAAACTACAAATTACTTCATTTTTCCCGATCTCCATACAAATATAAAAGATGAAGCTATCCAAACCCCATATAATCTAATTATACTACATTACAGTGCCAGAGATCATTTCTAAGCCTGTATCTGCATTCCCACCTCTATTCCTCTCTCTACGTTACTCAGCTTCCTCTGGCCAGGGGAAATCTCCAAGTGCAGCTACAGCTTTTTTCGTGCTAACACACATAATTTAAGGAAATGGGGAAAAGACGGCAAATTAAACAATATTAATGTTTACACAGGTATTATACACTATGCTCAAATGCTTAAAAATCCTCTACCTTCCAGGAGCTCACCCGGCTTTCTCATCAGCACTCAGCTCAGAATACACCAAGGTTCTCCAAAAATAGCTTTTCTACCCCCTTTTAGCAATGGAATTGGAAACCTAGTAATTGGAGCCTTTGGCCAAATCTTTGCACTGGCAGGACCCTGAATTTTCCCACAGTTAGATCTTATTTCTTCTTAAATACTAAGAAGTAAACCCTCCTCAAATCCGGGAATATCAAGGTTCAGATGATGGACATGACACAACTGACTCATCCCCACTGTTCAACAGCAATTAGCTTAAAATAAATAGAAGGAAAATGCTGATGTTAATAGCAATGGCCGACTCACTTCTAGTGTTCTAGTCATCATGGATAAAGTGCAGAGGAAGAGGGATTTAAAGGTATCTGGGATGACGAAAAGGGTTAAATGGGGGATGCAATGAAAACCCACTGCCGCAGACTCCATTTTTGGAGAAACAGCTCTAGTTAACATGTTTCTGCTGGGATTTCTTATTGACAGAATCACAATTTGTTTTTAATTTGCTCATAACATGCTCAAAGGGTGTAAACAGCCTGGCAAGTGGGTTCCATAAAAGCAACGAGAGGGGCTAAACGTGAGATAAAGAACGGAAAACGGACGGGTTAACAGAGTGAAAGCAAGGGAAATGATTCCTGCAGGTTCTCCAAGTGTCGGTATATATTGCCTGTTTCCGCACCTGGACGGCTTCAAGAACAACCTTTGCAAAGTGCAAACGCATCCCCTGAAAAGCACGCAAAGCCCAGAGACCTCAGCTCACAAAGCCAAGCCCCACCGGGCTTCAGCCACGGACAACTTCCTCCATCCTAGCTACCAGCTGTGGTGGGAAAGGGCTTCCCCTTCTCTCCTTCACCAGGCAAGAAGGGGATGGAGTCTATGCTAGCCTGAATTCCTCACCCGGTGGCCTGTCCCACTAGTTCAGGAGGTGCCACGCCACTTCTCACAGCCATCTGACCAAACCCGTTTGAAAGGGGGATGCTGTAGCCAACAACCCACGGACCCCTGGGGTCTGTTCTCCCATGGCTGGAGCATCGCCAGCTGTAGTGCCAAAGGACGTCCCTTCTGACCTGGAGAGACAGTGTTAGGTCTTTTGAAGGGGCCACCGCTGCATTCAGGACTGGGTATCCTCCCTGCAGACCCCCAAACCTTTGGGGGAAAGTCATCACATAGTCCACATTGCTTCAACATAGGTACTGCCAACGCTTTCATCTCCACAGGAAAAAAAGCTACGTTTAAGTTAAAAGCAACTGTGTTACTGCTCAACTAAAGTACTAGGCTGGATATATTGTTTTTCCTATAGTACAGCGGAACCTCCTCTCCTAAAAATATTCTGTGCTTTTTTGATGTTTGCCTTCAGAAAACTTTTACAAAAGGAGTGTATAAAACTTCTACCTGAAATCTTCATGACGGCCTGGTTGTCCTTGTTTCTCAAACATCGCTCTTAGCTTTATAAGGTGGCCCAAAGAGAGCATTAAATCATGTAGAGAAAATATTCTCAATTAAAAGAAAAAAACCCCAAAACATGCACAGAGAACTCAAAGGTGGCAAATCTGCCTACCACGTATTTGAAACACTGGACTTGTTTTTGGGATACAAATGCCCTTGATGCTCCCAGGGGAACAGGAGGCAGCGATAGCACCTCTGGGACCATTAGCCACAATTCCTGACTCCCCACTGCAACTCCCAAGAGAGGGGTAAAGCTCGTGAGCACCAAGACGCAGAGGGGCTTCACAGCATCCCCTTCAGCTGCACGTTAAGTGGGTCGTCCCGTTGCTGGAGGACCATCCACAAGTACCAAAGATCAGGGAGCTGCATGGGAATGATGGAGAAACAGCAATTACAACAGATGCCCTTCCTCAGTTTAAAAAAAATAATTAAAACTATCCCAGTATGAAGAGAATTAGCCTTAGCCTAACGCAGCCAGCCTAGGCTGGTTGAAGAAAGATCTTCCCTGGCTAAATAGTCAAAGATCTACACAGTAACAAAGTACAAAATGAGAACATCACCAAACAGGAAAAGCTGGTCAATATTCTTGTGCTTCCACCTTGAGGCTCGCTTTTCTTCCACAATTTGATGGTTTCACATCAAATCCGTAACTGTCTGGGTTTTTTTTCCTTAAGACAATGAGATTAGTTTTTTTTTCCTCTGCATTTCGTCCGCATATAGTTTATTTAGCAATTGCTAGGCTCCTCCCATTTGTATGCCAAATGAAATGCAGAGCCCCAAGGAAGAACACCACTGAAGGCTTGGGAAATATATATGAGCAGGTAGATTTGCAAATTACTATGCTGTGTGCACCTCACTGCCTTCACATAATTGCTCCTTTGCCATCGAATTCAGTTGAGTTTTCAACTTTCTCTGTGATACAACCCCTACCCCCATCTACACATTGCCATATGCCACTTCAAAAAAAATCACTTTTCTGCCTGCCAAAAACCATACAAGCCTGCCTCCCCCTGCCAGCATCCTACTTTGCTGAAAACAGGAGAAGCTGGGATCTGCCTGGTAATACCAAAATAATCAAATCAAGTATTAAAACTTGGAATTCAAATGAACTGTCCAGGCTACTTTCACAAGCCATTTTTCTTCCAGAGAGCAGCCAAGTTGGGAGTCAAGCGCAGCCATGCCCTGCCCGCTGCGGTGAAGGCTATCAATTCTGAACTTAATCAAATCTGATCTTCCCACAACCAGGCTAGGGCTTTTTGTCTTGGCTTGTGAAAGCTTCGTGACTTTTGGAGTAAAATATATTTACAGCGCTGAGAAACAGCCTCTTTTTCCTTTCTAAAAGGTCTCGTGCACATTTTTTTTCTTTTTTCTTTTTTTTCCCCATGCCAAACGTGACATAATCTCCTTCTGATATGTTCCTCAGAGGCTTGCGATGGAAACAAGAGTTCACTGCTGGGAATATTTTCAATGTACAATGATCTGTAGCCCACAGATCCTAACTAGTTGCACATTATTTAGTTCACATCCATTACAGTTTATAAATTAACAGAGATGTCATTTTCTGTACAAAAAAAAATCAATGCATATTTATGTTTTTTTTATTCAAATAGATTTTACATACATATAATCTAGAGACACAATACAAAAATCTGTATAAGTTAGGCAATGCATCACAGGAGTAACCAAAAACTCAACACATTTACCTTGGCAAAATGACAGAACCTATTTCTGCTGGCTGAAAAAATATTAGCTTTTAATGCATTTATTAATTTCACTACACGTACTTGAAATGTTCTTCCTTAGCGGTATTCATTATTCCTTTTTGTGTTTCATAGTTACTCTTATTTATTTTTTCCATTTTGTTTTTACACCAAGGAGACTGCAGTCAAATAACACTCAGCAACTCATTTCCTCTCTTTGGACTGAAAAATTAAACAGATACTAAATTATGACAGTGAATTTAGAAAGGAGGGCTCCAAGGGCTCGAAAGAACATGTCTGAGATAATATGATGCTTCTAAGAATATTGCAATCACATCCAAGCAATCACCGAAGCGTGCCATGTAACTACCTCCTCAGCTAATATGCTTTTTTCTCCGTGATGACTAATCATGTTCTATTAAACAGCGGTAATGCTGGAAGAACTCAACTATACAAGTGTAATGAAGCCAGTATTCTCCCCGGACAGATTAGCTACAACTGATTTGACACATACCATCATAGGAGCTTCAAACCTGACAAACTCTGTGCTTGCTTCTGATTTATGCCGTCAAGCTCTTCAGAGAAGAGAATGAAATCCAGGCGTCGCGTTTGGTAGAGGTGAAATGTACTGATGTGCTTAACTGTCAGTTACGGAAAGTCACCATCTCTCCTTCCTTCTCCTCTCGCTCGTCTCTCCCTCCGCCCCTTCCCTCCACGCTCAGCGAGCCTACGTGTCCCCCCCTGGGGACGACCGCTCTCCCATGGTCCCGGTGCCACGCGCGGCGTGTCCCGCTCAACCCACGCGCTCTCGCCTGCTCATTTCCATCGTTCGAGAGCTGTCACTGAAACAACTGCTTTCTCTGCAGCCCCTTTCGCTCCTTCTCATCCCCTCGCGCTCTCCAGATGCGCCGTTTCCGGATGGGACAGGGATGTACCGAAGGGAAAAGGGAAAAGGAGAGTTAATCAGACTCACAGAGAAGACCTGTGATGGAGATGGAGGAATGTGAGGGCTGCGGATGTAATTCAGGTCAGCGAATACACAAGTGAGCTCTTCAGATGATGGTGGGCATCCTTCCGCTGCTGTTGTTCCGGTTGTTGTTCTTCCTGGACAAGTTTGGAGTGGCCATGAGGACGAAGCGCTCGTCGGGGCAGCCGTACTGGAGGAGAACATCGATGCACTCCTGGCTGGAGGCCTGCCGGGCATAGGCCAGCGCCGTGTTCCCGTGAGCGTCACGTGCCATCACGTCAACACCGTACTACAAGGAGAAGAGATGCCTCGTTGGAAGCTGTGGCGCCAACGGAGCGTTAACCCAGAGGGAGGGGATTCAAGATGGCTGGGCTTGAATTTAAGTGGGGATGGGGAGAGGGAGAAGAGGGATTGAGCAGGATACCAGCCTGACAATGTCAGCACAGCAGCACGTAAAGGTTTCTAAGGGAAGAGAGTCTCATGCGTGGAACAAAATTTGCTACAGTGGTGTTTCAAGCAGGTGCTAGGGGACTTGCTCCTTCCTCACTTCCTATGCTTGCCCTTAATTGCCATCCAGCGGCAGAAACATGCTTTTTTATCACGGTGTTATCTTTTGAGAGTGTGCAGTGAGGAACATCCAGAGTCAGGACACCAGCAAACTCTTTGTGAAACCCTCTAGAAGCAGGTCTGGGAGGTCCTGCTGAGGGACGCAGCCAAGCGAAAGCCAACCCAACTGGCCACCCTGCCTTGGACACCAAGTACTTACCCAAATCAAGAGCTGCACTAACACCACGTTGCCTTTCCTGCACGCCAAGTGGAGGGCGGTGCGCCCATCACCGTCTCCGCAGGTCTCGTTCACCTCTTCCCGAGTCCCGTGGGCAAGGAGCAGGATGACCGTCCGCAAGTCCTCCTCGGCTGTAGCCCTCAGGAGATGCTGACCCAGAGAAAGCTCCAGGCACTGCAGTGGGGCAAGGAAGAGCTTCTGCTCATATTTTGCACGTATCCAGCGCTCTTTTTCTTCCCTAGAAAAGCCAAAGGAGAAAGGTCACTCTACCCGGCTTTGCTGCCTGTAAACAGTGGCAGTTCAGCTACCAGTACAGTAGCAAAGAGCAGTTAACCAACAAGAAAATTATTTCCCCTTCAAATTTTGGGCAAGAAAGCCCTCACAGAAACCTTATATTCACCCAAACCTTGTATTTGCAGCAATATTTGTGTCACCCATCTCATCATTCTTGAACCATATTATTCTGCAGTGCCCGAGATACCCCTTGGTGTTTGCTGTGCCTATGGGGACGCAAGATCACAACAGCCAAAAGGTCCTAAAAAAACCTTGGGCTGCCCTGAGGGCTGGCAAGAAGTCACTGCACAAGCCCTCACCGTCAGGAAGACCAAACACAAAACAGGCAGCCTGGTTCCATGTTAAGGTTGTGCCGCAAACACATTACAGAAAACGCACCAAATTCCTCTATTTAAGACCAGAAGCAAACAAGCATCTGGGCTTGCATTTCAGACAGGAAAAGAGAGCCCTGAAAGACACAGCCTTGCTTGCAGAGGTGCTTTTTCCTTCTACAAGTTGAGCCATGTTTCCAGCGCAAAAGGCCTGTGGATGGTTCTTCGTGTTTGTTTTCCCAAAACGCAAACCACCAAACCAATATTTTGAAGCACCATTTCCTCCTGATATGTCAAAGAACTGTCAAGAGCTTTCTGGATACTATCGGGTTACAGGAGAACAAGGACTACAAACAAGTCCCTCGGCTCCCATTAAAAAAATTACCATACAATTATATGATCTAAGAGATCTTGCCCTAGACAAAGTCTCCTTTAGAGGTACCTCAGGTAATCTGTTCGGCCTGTGAAAACCATACACATCACCTAAGCCAGGCAACTTGTTACTGGTGACAGATTTTCTGCTCTGGAGTACAAAAGGCAAAGCTCTGTTTATGCCTTTCAGCCGTGTTTACACTACTGCCAGTAATCTAGTGTCAGGTTAGCCCTAATCTGTTTTTAAATACTTATGTAAACAGATCCTTCCAACAGCAAATCTGGATTAGTTTTGCATCATTTCCTGGTACATGTGGGGTGACCTTGCTTTGACCTCCCCGGATGCTTTCAGCTTCCCAAAGCATCCCCTTCTCTACCCAACACAATTTACCTTACAAACAGGTCCCAGCATTTTTTTTTTTTCCCAGAGAAGCACAAACAGAAAATTAACACAAAGAGTGCTTCCTTTAAATCAAACCTTTGAATGACTCCTGCAAGCTAAAAGACACACAAAAAAACCTCACCCCAAAACATCTGAAGAGCTTCAAATTAACCTGTGATGGCAGATCTGATAAACAAGAGTATCACTTCAGGTATTCCAAATGGAGAGGAGGAAGAAAAGGACTTCTGTTGCTATTGCATCTTTAATTCATGCTTTTTATGTTTGTGTTTTTTCAGGCAAAAAACCAAACCACAACCTGTGCTGTGAGGAGGATAAAGTAACATGCAATTATTTACAATAAAATGGGCATGTCTACCACGCTGCAACAGTTCTACTTCTAGAATCCATCTACAGCATCTTCAGGAATGTTTAGCAAACATCATATATGTTTTTTAAACATATACAGAGGTACCGAGAGTTTCATCAATGTATCCACTACATGTTTAAAATGTGCCAGACTGAAAACCAAAGTGGTTTATCCTACTGCCTCAAAAGGCTGGGAAAAGAGCAGAAAAGCCCTTTAAAAATAAATCTAACAGGACGGGGAACACACTGCCACCTGCGCTAAGGATGGAGAGGATGCAGATGGTCCTTCCTTAAGGCACTCTCCTGCAGTCTGATCAAGTAACCCAATTCAATAAGGCCCAATTCTACCAGAGTGACTTTAAGGGTTGTGCAAGGAACAGAGCAAACACTACAAACTAAAGCAGAGGTGTTTTAAAAGCCTCAGACATTTGGGGGCAGCATGCCACTGACATCAGCTGCTGAGCGAGATGCAGGTCTTAAAATTCAACAGTACAAACAGGGCACAAGAAAGATAGTCCCTTGGATTTTCTGGTAGAAAATGGAACTTTATCACAGAGGCAGGAGGAAAAGCAAGCTTGCTCTTGCCTCATGGACAGCCAAAACATAGAGGAGTTATTTTTCAACGAGTATCTAGAAAGCCAACATCCACGGACATCCTTCCTGTATCTTTGGCACAAACAATTTCAGTTTGAACAGGAAGTCCTGGGGACTTTCCTGGAAGACAGCTTCAGCTTGGCCGCTCGCATTCATCTCAGAAATCCCGACAACAAGACATAAATACTGTAATCGTTGCTCTGATGCCCCAATTTCACTTCTGGGATCCACAGCTTGTCTTGGTTGAGGTTTCATTTCCCCCAAGGAAGGCCAGTCCAAGAGCAGAGTTGTCAGCAGTAGATCACTTAACCTCATTGCAGTTCCCTGGAGGACCACTGTTCACATCCCCTGTTAGCTAATGAGCTAAAAAATGAATTATTGGAGCGGTCAGCAATAAGCAGGAAGAGGAGGCACAGTGTTTCATTTCAGCCAGCGCTGACATACCTTTAAATAAATCAACTGAATAAGAGTACAAGGAAATGTGAGGAAGAGCAACTAATCAGGAGAAAGACACCAAACCAATCCCTAAAAATAAAGGAAACTTACATCGGCTAGTAAATATTTCCCTCTGTTTTCTTTCTTTCGCTGTAATCCCGGTAACTTTCACTATAAACAACCCTCTCAACACCAAAGACTTTCAGCTGTAATTGTCAAAGTCAAAACAAGACTCTTTTAATGAACTTTTAAAATCCTGTGGAGTCCTCTTCTCAGGACCAGATTAAAGCCAGTGTGCTGGAGACACAACCTTGCCACACGCTCAGATGGTGCCGACAATACCTAATGCTAGAGAACGTGTGAGCTGCCTCTTCCTCATATGTGCTAAAATGACTTTTTTCTTCAGTGATCAGGCTAGCTGCTGTTTTTCCAATGCATAATCAAAAAGGACTTAATAGATTGCCAGCTCCTAGAGAAACTTATAGAAAAAAAATATACGATCAGACTTATTTTGAGCCCTTTATCTCTGAAGCTACACACGCAAACCCAGACCGCTGGTACAAACTTCAGACTTCACTGGTTATAAGAGGGCCAAACGCAACAAAGTAAGACTGCAAAATACTCTGCGGTACCAGGAGAGGAATGAGCCACTAAAGCCTTGTCCAAAAAAATACCAGTAAGCTTTTTGCTCTTGCAGGAGTCTCCATCGCTAGTGAACTCTAAGTACACATAGTGGTGTGAATAATGAAATCTCTGCCACGGCAGCGATACTGTACATAGGTAAAGGGTTATTAGAAACAGATGAAAATTTCAGTTCTCAGTTTATTTTGATCTAATTAGGTGCTTGCTTCTCAAGATAATGTCCAATTATTTAAATTACTCTGCCAGCCACATCACATCATTATTATCTGGAAACATAAATACTGGGCACTGTAAGGGGGAGGGCTAACTAGGTAGCATGAGAGAATATAAAAAGCAGATTTGCTTAGAGCACAGCTTTGCTCCAGGAGCTACACTACATTCTCCACTTACGGGTTCGCACCAGAGATGCTCATTTAGCAGCCCATGTCCTACACAGCTCAGACCCTTAGAGTGCACCACGTGGCTCCCCCACCTCAGCTAAATAAGTGCGGTTTTGCATCCGGAGCTGGTATTGACTCTCCATCCTACTCCTCTTCGCTGCCATTCACCTCTGCCTTCAACTTTGTTCATCCTTCATGTATACTTGGTGGAGAGGCATGAAAGGCAAACACGAAGAGGATGTGCAAGGCGGAAATAAAAGCTGTGTTCATACAGCAACTCAGAACTCACTGTGTAGGCAACGGCATGTGGATGGAGAGCCTGAGAATTTGCCATCAAATTTTAACAGCTCCATTGCAAGAGAAGCCTTGTTCTTCCCAAAGCGGTAACGAGGATGACAAAAATGCTGTGTCACTTGCTCGTTATCTAAAATTACTCACCTTTTGTTAAAAATGAAATTCTGAAAGGTTGTATTAAAACCAAAATGGACAGCAGTTATTTACCAGAGCAGAGCATCGATTTACCACCAGTAGAAATACTGGGCAGGCTTGGTGCAGGCACTTCAAACTGAAGTTTTATCCTCCACACCTCCAACAACATTAAAATGCTCTTGACATTTTTTTAATCTTCTCTCTTGCTGAAGGAATTAATTCTGTAACTGAGGAGGGCTCTCAATGGTCTCTGTAGCACCACCGTACAGGTGCCATGCCCATGTGTTGCCATGTCTGGTTGCTCACTGAAGTACAACCATCCAACACAGTAGTAACCTGGCCAGCTTAGCGAGAGCGCTGCCAAATTTTCTCTCCTGCTGGCCAGCTGACAAGGTTAATGTGTCTCTTCCAAGAAAATGAAGTAAATCTAACCTCCGTACCTCCCAAACTCCTGGAGAGTCCCAGAATGTGTCATTAGCTCTGTGGTGCAGCATGCAAGAAGCACGCATCACCTAATGACCAGTGCTGGGGCTTGGTGTTTTGACAAACCCCTTCGCAATGACCCTGCACGCATCCCATAAACAGCATCGCTTCGGATGGAGGCGGTGATGCAACGTTGGGATGAGTAAAAGAGAAACGTTGAGGGGAGTGTGTGGGGGAGAGACGGGATTGAAATGTTGGGAAAGGTTCGTGATGTTTTTAATTGCAACTAGCAAAGCGGGGGAAGAAGAAGAGAAGGCGAGAAGAAAGGGCTAGCAGCAAGGAATTTCCAAAGTGTCTTCCTGCCCCAAGCAAAGCAGGAACTGGGAGGAGAGGCATGGAAGAGGAGCTGGGAACAATATGCTGAGAAAACACAGGGGCTTCCTCTCTCTGCAGGAGAAGACCCCACTCTATTGCAAAGTCAGTGCTTAGCAGTTGACTGCTTCCTAGCATGCATGCCTTCTCTCCCCGGCTGCGTTGCTAAGGGGGAAGGCGCACAAGCCCACCGGGGATATATAGGTCCTGGGCAAACAAGAGGGCTCCAGACAGCAAA